TCTTGGGTAATAGCTCGATGAGTTCGAACATTGGGTCATCTCGGATGAGAAAAGTAGGTCACCGGAGCTAAAAATAGAAAAAGCCTTGTTAACACGTCCAGCGGTCACATTTTTTGCCTCAATCATCATCAAAACTTGGTTCAGGAAATGGGCTTATCTAGTTGATAGCTCAAATGAGTTCGAACATGGGTCATCTCGGCACAAGAGATAAAAATAGAAAAAACCTTGTTAACAGTCTAAAGGTCACAATTTTGCCTCAAACATCAATTTTTGCCTTAATAATCATTCAAACTTGGTCAAGATGTTTGTTCTAGGTGGTAGCTAGAATGAATTTCGAACCATGGGCTCATTCTCGGGATGAAAAACTAGGTCACCGGAGCTAAAAATAGAAAAACCTTGTTACTAACTCTAGCGGTCACATTTTTTGCATCAATCATTCATCAAAAAAACTCTGGTCAGGAGCTTGTCTAGGTGATAGCTCAGAGAAGTTCTAATATGGGTCATCTCGGATGAAAAACTAAGCGTCACCGGAAGCTAAAAATAGAAAAAAAAAACCTTGTTAACACTGGAGCGGTCACATTTTTGCCTCAATCATCATCAAACTTGGTCAAGATGCTTGTCTAATTGATAGTTGGATGAGTTCGAACGTGCGGTCACCTCTGATTGAAAAAGTAGGTCACAAGAGCTAAAAATAGAAAAAACCTTGTTAACACTCTAGCGGTCACATTTTTGCATCAATCATCATCAACATTGGTCAAAATGCTTGTCTAGGTGATAGCTTCAAATGAGTTTGAACATGGGTCATCTCAGATTAAAAAACTAGGTCACAGGAGTTAAAAAATAGAAAAAACATTGTTAACACTTTAGCGGTCACATTTTTGCATCAATCAGTTCATGAAACTTGGTCAGGATGCTTGTCTCAAGGTGATAGCTCGGATGAGTTCGAATATGGTTATCTCGGATGAAAAACTAGGTCACCGGAGCTAAAAATTAGAAAAACCTTGTTAACCACTTAGCGGTCACATTTTGCCTCAATCATCATCAACCTTGGTCAGGATGCTTTGTCTAGGTGGTAGCTTGATTGAGTTCGAACATGGGTCACCTATGATTGAAAAACTAGGTCACCGGAGCTAAAAAAATAGAAAACCTTGTTTACAACTCTTAGCGGTCACATTTTTGCATCAATCATCATCAAACTTGGTCAGGATGCTTGTCTAGGTGATAGCTTGGATGAGTTTCGAACATGGGTCTTCTCAGATGAAAAACTAGGTTCACAGGAGCTAAAATAGAAAAATTTTGTTTTAACACTCTAGCGGTAAAATTTTTGACACAAGTGTCATCAAACTTGGTCAGGATGATTGTCTAGGTACTTTGACTCGATGAGTTCGAACATGGGTCATCTCGGATGAAAACTAGGTCACAGGAGCTAAAAATAGAAAACCCTTGTTAACACTTCTCGTGGGTCACAATTTTGACTCAATTTTATCAAACTTTGGTCAGGAAACTTGTCTAGGTCATTGCTGGGATTAAGTCAAACATGGGTTATCTCGGAAAAAAACTAGGTCACCGGAGCTAAAAATAGCAAAATCTTGTTAACACTCTAGTGGCTTACCTACTGTTTTGATCCAAATATCCTGTAATTTGGTCTGAAGTTTGTTTTGATGATTTCTAAGTCAAATTCGAACATGGGTCATCTTGGATGAAAAACTAGGTCACACCACGCCCAAATATGGGGAAAAACCTTGTTAACATTCTAGTGGTCACATTTTCGACTCAATTATCATCAAAACTTGGTCAGGACATGCTTGTCTTAGGTGAATCGAATTCGCATTTGAAACTAGGGTCACCGGAGCTAAAAATGGAAAAATCTTGTTAACACTCTAGTTGCTACTTTGTTTTGATCCAAGTATCTGGAAAAATTGGTCCTCGAAAGTTTTTTTTGATGATTTCCTAGGTCAAGTTTGGAATATCGAGGTCACCTGGGGTAAGAAAAACTAGGTCAACTGCTTCAAATTATGGATAATTCCTTGTTAAACACTGTAGTGGGTCAACATTTTTTTGACTCACCTGTGTCAAAGACTTTGGTCAGAATTGCTTGTTTAGGTAATTGTTTGGATGAGTTTGATGGGTCACAGGTGAGCGATCTTACGAGGTCTCATCATGGTCGTATCTTTTGTATTTTCTGACCGATTAAAGGTCATAAAACCAAAGCTCTGACATTCCCAATCTCTGACACAGAATTTCACGACCCAACTAACAATCCAAGTAGTTCTTGCAAAAACAGTGTTTAAAACTTGGCTGTATATTTAAAAGAAAGAAATTTTTTATTCTTGTTACCAAGTATCCAACTAAAATTACAAACACATTCCAAAAGTTTAAAAAAGTACGTTTTTCTTATAAAAATTTTTCCATTTAAAAAGGGACAATTAAAATTTTCGCCGGATGAATTTTATTTTTTCAATGAAAATGCTATTTTTGAGGGATGTCCCATTAAAATAAATTTTCCAAATGTATCTACTCCGAGTAATTGGAAAAAATTTTACTTTGTAGTTTTTTTCATGTCGGACTGTTTCGACAGAAGACCGCTAAATTTTTTTACTTAAATTTTTAAAAACCAAAAAGGTTTGCCCCTGAAAAAAAATTACCTGAAAATTAGAAAGGTTTTTAAAAACCCCCAAAATTTTGAAAGGGAAAATTTTAAAAATTTAAAAGAATGCCCTAAAATTTTTTTTCCAGGCATCGTTTTTTTAAAAAACCTTTTCCGTGGTGCAGGGGAAAAACGCCCCTCGTTGTGTGCGAGAGGTCTTGAGTTCAAATTCCAGTCGAGGCAACTTTTTTTAAATTCTTTTTTATGTGTCTTTGTTAAGCGGAAGTAGCCATGATATGCAATGATAAAGTGTGGCTGTCATTAAAAAATGATTATAAATGATTTTTTGATGCAACTCTACTGTAGTTATACAAAATTCCGTATGTATCCAAACTCTGGTGCTTGCAAGATGAATTATAGTGTTATACAGGAAAATACATACAGATGTACGGTGCGATTTAGATTGCAAAAGATCAGAAAATACCACAGAGCTTGCAAGCCCTTTGATTTTTAATATGTGAAGAATGGATTGCTTTGCATTCAATATCCCAGACTTTAATGGTGAGTTTGTCTAGATCATCTTGTAACATTAGTGCCAACCTGTAAATATTTTGCATGCTAGGATTTAATTGAATATAGATAGGAAGTTGTCTCCTTGTCTGGTCCCTGGAATTTTATTGAGTGAACCAATTTGGAGACTGTGAGCGTACTTGTAGGATTCAACTGGACAGATACAAACCAGGGGGTATTTGTCGCCAAGTCCGGCTCTGTTAACCGGTGACCTATACTGTAAAATTATTTGTAACATATTACTAAACTTTATTACTTTTGAAATATTTGCTTGAGAAGGAAAGCACGCAGTGTATTTATGGTAAATGTTATTATGAATGAGTATTAATTATAATACTTTTTACATGATGAAAGCCACTTGTTTTCACTCTATACATGCATCACGTATTTATAAAAACTGTTTTTAAAAATTTAATTGTGCTATCTTCTGTTGCAATGGTAATGAAATGCAAAACACCAGCTATTAAGGTATTATTTCAGGCAAAAAGGTTACTATACTAATTTTCTGTACATCATAAAATTAAATCATCCCATTATTTCATATAAATTATGTTTTTCAAGTTCTTCAGACTGTAAATAGCATTAAACAATTATTTTTTTTAAGTGTAACGCTAAAAGGTGAATGAGAGCAAAACCCCTTATATTTATCTCCACGTCTGTCTGAACCGATGTTGGAGACTCTTAAATAAAGTGAAAGAGGAAAATTGAATCAATAATATAGATAAGTAATACTATACAATACCATGGTCTTGATGGTACTTACACTTTGTCACAATATCAAATTTCCATGAAAATATATCACACAAAAGAGACAGAGAACAAAGAAATGTGACCCCATAAAAGTGGGTATAGGTAAGTAGTTCTATACAGTAGCTACAAAATGAGACCAAAGTGGGTATAGGTATGAAGAACTATTTAATAGCTACAAAATGAAACCAAATTTGAAGTCCTAGCATGACCTGGATAAAAATTACAGTTGGTCACAATATCAAATGTCCATGATAATAAAGAGAAAAGGACGTCCCTGTCTGAATGACACAAAATAGACAGAGAACAAAGAAATGTGACCCCATGAAAGTGGGTATAGCTAAGTAGTTCTTTACACAAGCTACAAATTGAGACCAAATTTGAAGTCCTAGCTTGACCTGGATGAAAGTTACAGTTGGTTACAATATCACTTTAACATCAAAATATAGACAAAATGCGCCCCTGTGTGAATGACCCAAAATAGACAGAGAACAAATTTAAAGTTCTAGCTTGACCTGGATGAAAGTTACACTTTGTCACAATATCACATTCACATAAAAATATAGAGAAAAGGCCGTCCCTGTCAGTATGACACAAATAGACAGAGAACAAAGAAATGTGACCCCATAAAAGTGGGTATAGGTTAGTAGTACTATACAATAGCTACAAAATGAGACCAAATTTGAAGTCCTAGCAAGATCTGGAAGGAACTTACACTTTGTCCCAATATCACTTTAACATGAAAATATAGACAAAAGGCCGCCCTTGTCAGTATGACACAAGATAGACAGAGAACAAAGAAATGTGACCCCATAAAAGAAGGTATAGGTAAGTAGTTCTATACAATAGATACAAAATGAGACCAAATTTGAAGTCCTAGCATGACCAGGATAAAAGTAACAGTTAGTCTGAAAATATAGACGAAAGGCCGCCCCTGTCAGTATGACACAAAATAGACAGAGATCAAAGAAATGTGACCCCTTAAAAGTGGGTATAAGTGAGATAGCTACCAAACGAGACCAAACCCCTTAAAAATTGTGTTCCATATTAACTCCTCCAAAATTAAAAATAAAATGATAAGTATTATTTATTTTCAGAAACCAGCTGTTCAAATGCCGACAGATGAAGTGGTTCTGTTGAATGGCATAACATTTGGGGTTTTGACACCTGGTAAGAAAGAAATGTTTCAGAATTGGAGAAAGTTTTATATTGTAAGATTAACAATTATGCTACTTTTTTAATATAAATAAGTACCTTGTATGGAAATATCAGTTATAGTATTTTATTAATTTTTGTTGTCAAAAGGTTGCTATTACATGTAGTTATTCCCGATATGACAGATTGTAATGGAGCAAACAAATTATTTATATTTGATAGAAAATGTCAGCTGATTGAATTTTTTTTTTTAATTTTGGAAATAGTATGTGACCATAATATTATGTTTACTGTGCATACCTTGATTATGTTGTAAATTTTAACAGTGAAGGAGAAGAAAATCCATATGTGTTTCAAGACTTGCCCAAAGTAGAAGAAACACAATATTTTTTTGAAGAAAAGCCTGTTAGCATGGTAAATATAGACATAGTTGTATACCTGAATTATTCCAATTTCTTAAGGATTTTCAGACATACTGGCAAATATAATTTCAACTATAATTCAATTTATTTTCCAAATAAGAAACTTCTCATTATATTTACAGAAGAATTGAGCTTTGTTTTTGTACATTTTTTAAAAAAGAAAAGAAACTAAAAATGACAGGGCTTTATTCTATTGTTGATCATCCCTTGTATGCTTCCTGCAGAACTACAGCACATGTTTGGTAAATTCATTGTGTGAAACTGCAACATTTCCTCATTTATACATTTCTTATTTAAGCTGAATTTTATGGCATAAATTTAAACATTCATATCAATTCAGTGTTGAATGCCATTACATGTTATGAGGACATGTATGAGACATGCACACCTCACCGAAATGGTATTCATCTGATGCTTTCTGTTTTTTAAATCTATTCAGTTTAAGCAGTGTTCTGACGAAAGTTACAGCAAATACAAGTAATACGTAATTTTACATTTTTTATTGATGTATTGAAATATACTGCTGAAATATGTCTAACCCATATTTGTTGTGTAAGTGATTTGCAATTATATTATCGAACGCATAACTTCATGCACTTTATCATTCTGGATCACATTTCTGTGTTTATATTCCTTTTTTATTGTATCCCAATACAAAGTGTTGCATGAGAGATGACGGTAAACAATATGTAATGTTTACTTAGATTTGATATTTCAATATATCTCTTTGCAGATGTGGTGTGAAGCAAAGAATATTAAGAACAAAGTAAGTATGTTGTAAAATGGAAATACCACCATGTAAAAAGTCTGTGGAGTTAAGCGGTACATCCTGTGCTAATATATGTCTTTCATTGTGTATCTGTGATATTCAAAGCTTGATTGAAATATTTTATTTTTTATTTTTTGTCTGATATCTGTGATGTTAAATCAATCAGTATTAATGTTATTATTTAACATGAGTGTGTGAAATTGTCTGATATGTCATAGTGTTTCCCTCCCATAATATTAAAATATTCTGGTGAATCACAGCCACAAAGATACCAATTCATTTGTACATACACTGAATTTCTATGAAATTTGTTTTCAATACTGCTAAAAATTTTATTTGTAATGTATGTAATGTATGTAAACAATATATGACTCAAGCACATACTAGTAGATAAACACTTATTATAACATTTAGCATTTATTTTTAAATTAGTAAATGCTATTTCTTTATTTGACATGGTATTTGGGGATACACATGTACATTATCACCCTCGATAAATATAACCTGTTATACAAGGGTCATTATGTTTTGAGGGAAATATTTGTACAAATGAATTGGTATGTTTGTGGCTGTGAGGGCACAGTTGGTTATTATTATATTCAAACTTCAAAGTGGCCAATGAAGGAAAGATAAGCCGCTACAATTTCCATTGTTCGAAATCTTTAAATGTAACAATGTGAAGCATGTAAGTGTGTTACTTTTCAAAGTACAGGAATTTATATATCATTTCTAAATATGTATTATTACTATATTTATACAGACATGTACAAGTCACTACAGGTAAATCATTGAGTTCAGTTCCAAAACTTTATTGTACATTAATTTATGATGTCACCGTAATTTGAGAAATATGGTGACATAAAACTCTGTTTTACAGTTACTTCAAAAGTTAAGATTATTTTGATTGATTTTAGTTTCTACTTAATGCAGATTTCAAAATATCACCATGTTTCAGTGTTTGTTGGGTTTCAGTTTAATACAGGCAATGAATGGCTGAAGTGTCTGTATGTGGAGCTAAATTTTACACAATACAGACAGAAATCAAATTAAACCATATGTGTCCGTGTTTATAATATTTTATTTACATAGGTCCATGACACTCAATGAGAGGGAAATAAGAATTGGTCATATTATTTATGGCATTCATTAGTGTTTAGTCAGTGTTTTTAGCTCACCTGTCACAAAGTGGCAGGGTGAGCTTTTGTGATCGCTTTACGACCGGCGTCCGTCCGGCCGTCGTCTTTTACTTTAAATGTCATCTCCTCATAAACCACTAAGCCAATTTCATCCAAACTTCACAGGAAAGTTCCTTTGGTGGTCACCTTTAAATATTGTTCAAAGAATTTAATTCCATGCAGAACTCTGGTTGCCATGGCAACCGAAAGAAAAAACTTAAAATATCTACTTTTAAAAAACCCAAAGAGCTAGAGCTTAGATATATGGCATGCAACATCTTCTAGTCAGTGTCTACCAAGTTAGTTCAAATAAAAGCCCTTGGGTAGAAATTGGCCCCGCCCCAGGGGGTCATTGATTTTCCCTATATGCATATAGTAAAAACTTAAAGAATCTTCTTTTAAAGAACTCAAAGAGCTAGAGCTAAGATATTTAGCATGAAACATCTTCTAATGGGTGTCTACCAAGTGTGTTCTAATTATAGCCCTGGGGTCAAAATTGGCCCCGCCCCGGGGGTCATTGATTTTCCTTATATGTGTTTTGCAAAAACTTAAAAAATCTTCTTTGAAAAAACCCAAATAGCTAGAGTTTAGATATTAAGGGTGAAACATCTTCTAGTGAGTGTCTACAAATTTTGTTCAAATAAAAGCCCTGGGGTCAAAATTGGCCCGCCCCGGGGTCATTGATATTCCTTATATGTGTATAGCAAATTGATATTCCTTATATGTGTATAGCAAAAACTTAAAAAATCTTCTTTGAAAAAAACCCAAATAGCTAGAGTTTAGATATTAAACATGAAACATCTTCTAGTAAGTGTCTACAAAGTTTGTTCAAATAAAAGCCCTAGGGTCAAAACTGGCCCTGCTCCAGGGCTGTCATTGTTTTTAACTTATTATGTGTATAGTAAAAACTTAAAAAAACTTCTTTTAAAAAACCCAATGAGCTAGAGCTTAAATGTTTAGCATGAAACATCTTCTTATGGTAGTCTACCAAGTTAGTTCAAATAAAAGCCCTTGGGTTAAAATTGGCCCTGCCGGGGGTGGCAGGGGACGAAAAGATCATTGTTTTTATTATATGTGTGTAGTAAAAACTTAACATCATGAAACATCTTCCAATGGGTGCCTTCCAAGTTTTTTCAAATAAAAGCCCTGGGGGTCTAAACTGGCCCTGCTCCGGGGGCCTATATACAGGTGAGCGACCTCAGGGCCATCATGGCCCTCTTGTATAATGTTCATGTCAATCACTTGGTTTTGAAAGTAAATAAGTGGGTGGTCTTAATTTTCATGACACAAAGAACCTTTTAAAAATGGTCTAAATAGTGGGGTGGTCTTAATTCTGAGGTTATCTTAAGTAGTGATTCCAATGTACATTGAATGTATGTGTCAGGTATCAGTCCAAGTTGCATAATCTTATTAGTCAGTCAAGCTGATCCGAAAGATATGACCATTTATTTTTCTCCATGATGCATACAATGGTCTCATTGACATCCTGCACATCAAAATTGTATCATAAAAAAATCGACTTGCAAACATATTTAGTACATTACTGAATTCAAAATTAATTGGTCACCTTTTGGATAATAATGACATTTAAGGACATGATTGGTGACATTGCCCGGGTCCATACTTTCAGTGACTGAAAGGGTGGATGGACCCTCATTAAGCCTAGAAAACATACAGACATTAAATGTAATCAAATATCAATCAATTACTCGCTTAAAGTAATTGTAATTTAATTGATTACAGAGGCAAGTCTGAGTAATCAAACTTAATCAATTACAATAAAATCTGAAAGTACATTTGTAATTGTAATTAAAGAAATTACATATACTGATCAATGTAATCAACCCCAGGTCTGATCCAGTCACTCTCTAGCTTGCATCCAGGAGAAAGCAGTACTGGTGTCATGTGATGAGGTACAGTCATGACCACAGTGGACCTTGAACCCCTTACATCTGGAATGAGAAGTGCATGTGTTGACATGAAATCGTACCTGTATCTATATAAATTTTCAAATGCCCAGAATGAAAGATTTTTGAATTGTATTAAAGTGTCACTGGTCTGGTGAGTCTAAAAAATTGTAGACATTTATACAGGTGTGATAGCTTCCGGTAAAAGGGAATGAAGAGAAATGGACATTCATTTTCAAAAATAGTGTTAGCTTTGCCTGTTTATGCTATTTAAAAAGAAGTTAAAAAGTATAATCTGTTTAACAGTTTCATTCACATTGAATTTAGATGAAATCTTTAAAAATCCTTTTTTGACTATCCTAGTCAAAAATGAAATATCCGCCAATTCAGATATGTCTGTCTTCAAAAACAGAAATAACTTGTTAAAACTTATTTCGTATTTGTTTTTAAAGCTTCAACAGTGTTTTGAGCATCATTCTTTACTATAAACCAATGTGACCATTATGAAGGTTAATATAACTAAGATAGAATATGAATTTCTGTAAATTGTGATATTTTAAATTTGTGTAAATTATGCGCTATTAGCCATTGTCAGTTTAACTTCATTAGTATTTGACATAGTGTAAGGAAACCTAACAGTAATTTGATAAGGATCGATGTTTTCACCTTGAATACGTCATTCAATAAATTTTGTGGAAATAAATATTGTTCTTAAAATTTTATCCTTTATTCTGTTTAGTTTTTCAGGTGTAAAAATTATATCTCCATTGGACATATTTCCTGTTCTGTCAAATTCAGTGGTTGGTGTGGTTCATCACAGGTACTATTTCATTTCCACTTACTTTGAACAGAAATCATATTGGAAACCCAGATTTATGCTCATAAAGGTGGGCATATAAAAATTTTGAGATTTTTCTTCAAAAAGAGGGAGATTTTAGAATTTGCAATAAACAAAGAAGAAAGTTTTGACATCTAAAAGAGGGATGTTATCATTTGCTTTTTTGAGTGCCAGATGAATGTAGAATGATTTAAAAATGTATTTAATCATCATAACAGTACAGTTCACTATGTACTTAAGTTTCTGTATTAACTTGTTAGTGTGTTAACTGGATTTTTAGAAAGTACAGTTGTGATAGTCTGTCTGTAACAGCCACATTTATATTTGGTTGCAAAATGACATTCTCTTTTAATATGATCATATGTTGTAAAATATTTCATGTCCTCTTTCCATGATATACTTTTTCACCATTAATTCACCTAATGACACTTAAGCAATAATAGTTCAGATAGAAATATTCAATATTTCAAGGAAAATGGTCAATATAATGAGATGTTTTTAAAATGCTCATGCTCACTTTGTTTGATTGTGATTGTCTGGCTTTTTAACCATGTGAATGCGTTATTTGAAAAAAGGTGTAGCATCAATCAAAAAATGTTGAGACTAAATTTTTGCTCAGATTTTGTAGCTATCGTATACTTGAATTTACTTGTACCATATTTTATTGGATCACATTTGTTGGTTAAATGACCATTTGTGTAATACTGACAAGGGCGGTTCTTTATTTTATATTTTTATGTGATATTGTGACAAAGTGTACCTCCATCTAAGTCATGATAGAAGTTTAAATTTGGTCTCATTTTGATGCTATTGCAAAGTACTACATACCTGTACCCACTTTCATTGGGTCACATTTCTTTCTTCTCTGTCTATTTTGTGTCACACTGACAGGGTGGTGCTTTATTCTATATTATTATGTGAATGTGATATTGTGACAAAGTGTAACTTCCATCTAGGTCATGCTAGGACTTTAAATTTTTCTCTCATTTTGTAGATATTTTAGAGTACTACATACCTGTACCCGCTTTTATGGGGTCACATTTCTTTATTTATATCTATTTTGGGTTATACTGACAGGGCGGTCCTTTATGCTATATTTTTATGTGAATGTGATATTGTGACAAAGTGTAACTTCCATCTAGGTCATGCTAGAACTTTAAATTTGGTCTCATTTTGAAGCTATTATATAGTACTACATACATGTACCCTCTTTTATTGGGTCACATTTCTTTATTTTTTGTCTATTTTGGGTTATTCTGACAGGGGCGACCTTTTCTCTTTATTTTCATGGGAATGTGATATTGTGACAAAGTGTAACTTCCATCTAGGTCATACTAGAACTTTAAATTTGTTCATTTTGAAGCTATTATATAGGACTTCATACCTGTACCCTCTTTTATGGGGTCATATTTTTTGTCTATTAGGGGCGGCCTTTTCTCTATATTTTTATGTGAATGTGATATTGTGACAAAGTGTAACTTCCATAAAGGTCAAGCTAGGACTTTAAATTTGGTCTCATTTTGTAACTATTATATAGGACTTCATACCTGTACCCCCTTTCATGGGGTCACATTTCTTTATTTTTTGTCTATTTTGGGTTATTCTGACAGGGGTTGCATTTTCTTTATATTTTTATGTGAATGTGATATTGTGACAAAGTGTAACTTCCGTCAAGGTCATGCTAGGACTTTAAATTTGGTCTCATTTTGTAGATATTATATAGTACTACATACCTGTACCCCCTTTCATGAGGTCACATTTCTTTATGTTTTGTCTATTTTGAGTCATACTGACAGGGGCGGCCTTTTCTCTATATTTTTATGTGAATGTGATATTGTGACAAAGTGTAACTTCCATTTAGGTCATGCTTGGACTTTAAATTTGGTCCATTTTGACTCTATTATTATTGAACTACATACCTGTACCCCCTTTTATGGGGTCACATTTCTTTATTTTTTGTCTATTTTGGGTCATACTGACAGGGGCGGCCTTTTCTCTATATTTTTATGTGAATGTGATATTATGACAAAGTGTAACTTCCATCTAAGTCATGCTAGAACTTTTAATTTGGTCTCATTTTGAAGCTAATATATAGTTTTACATACCTGTACCCCCTTTTATGGGGTCACATTTCTTTATTATTTGTCTATATTGTGTTATTCTGACATATTGAAGCTATTATGTAGGACTCATACCTGTACCCCCTTTCTTGGGGTCACATTTCTTTATTTTTTGTCTATTTTGGGTTAATCTGACAGGGGCGGCCTTTTCTCTATATTTTCATGTGAATGTGATATTGTGACAGAGTGTTGCTTCCATAAAGGTCAAGCTAGGACTTTAAATTTGGTCTCATTTTAAAACTATTATATAGGACTTCATACCTGTACCCCCTTTCATGGGGTCACTTTTCTTTATTTTTTATCTATTTTGGGTTATTCTGACAGCGGCGGCCTTTTCTCTTTATTTTCATGGGAATGTGATTTTGTCACGAAGTGTAACTTCCATCTAGGTCATGCTAAGACTTCAAATTTGGTCTCATTTCGAAGCTATTGCATTGTACTACATAAATGTACCTGCTTTCATGGGGTCACATTTCTTTATTCTCTGTCTATTTTTGGTCATACTGGCCTTTATTCTATATTCTTATGTGAATGTGATATTGTGACAAAGTGTAACTTCCATCTAGGTCATGCTAGAACTTTAAATTTGGTCTTATTTTGAAGCTATTATATAGTACTACATACCTGTACCCCCTTTTATGGGGTCACATTTCTTTATTCTCTGTCTATTTTGTGTCACACTGACAGGGATGGCCTTTTCTCTATATTTTTATGTGAATGTGATATTATGACAAAGTGTAACCTCCATCTTGGTCATGCTAGAACTTAAATTTGGTCTCATTTTGAAGCTATTGCATAGTCTTACATACTTGTACCCCCTTTTATGGGGTCACATTTCTTTATTTTTTGTCTATTTTGGGTTATTGTGACGGGGGCGGCCTTTATTCTATATTTTTATGTGAATGTGATATTGTGACAAAGTGTAACTTCCATCTAGGTCATACTAGAACTTTAAATTTGGTCTCATTTTGAAGCTATTATATAGTACTACATACCTGTACCCGCTTTCATGGGGTCACATTTCTTTAATCTCTGTCTATTTTGGGTCATACTGACAAGGGCGGCCTTTTCTCTATATTTTTATGTGAATGTGACATTTTGAATAACTTAACTTTTTTCCAGGTGATTGTACGACTTTAAATTTTGCCTCATTTGTAGCTATTATTTAGTACATACTTATGGGGTTATATTTCTTTATTCTCTGTCTATTTTGTTTCATCCTACTTGTAGTGCAACTGTTGACCACAAGAAACTTTGTATACATACATGATTGTAACCTTTAACTTGTGTTTCAACTTTTGCGAAAGATATTGTCTGTATGATTTCTTTTATATGAACCGCTTTAATTAAAATGTAAGATCATGTTTACGGTAGTATGTGATTGTGTTAAAATGAGGAATTGTTGAATAAATCTTACTGAAATTTATTGTGAGTATTTTTTGTAAACCAAACAAGACTCCAACCCATGGTTATTGTTCTCGGGACAGTAATTAGTATACTGAGCAAGCACATTATTTTAGTAACAATTGATATTTAATCCAAATGTTTACTTAAATAAGGTGCTTTCTAATTGGATTGATAACTGATCTATTAGCAAGACAGATGATGAGATCAATGAAAAAAAACCACAGTGCATTGTGATGTTACAATCCACCCCAGTTAATGTGTTACAAAGCAGAAATTTATAATATCAAAGTCAGAGATAAATGACACATCCTATCAAGTGACGGCATGCCTAGGTGTCCGACAAGACCTGATATAATTATTGTCACCAAGGATACAAATTTGATTTCAATTGCTTTATTATGCATCTGCTATAAATAGCAATACAATACAATACAAAGCTCATTTTCATCCGATGAATGAACCGTATATTAACAAAATCAAGTTATTGACCTAAAAATCAATAGCAGTGTTTAACCGAGAGCTTATTGGTCGATAGCGCTGTAATTCTAAAATTCATAAAAAATACAAGGACAGGTAACTCGTTCGCTGTTATCGGTCGTTACGTTATCGGTCGCCAGTTTGTGCTTATTGAAAATCCCGGGATCGCCTATAGAAAAGCCGGGACCCGGGATCGTATTAGGGATCCCGGAAATTGGCCAGTTCAAGAATATAGTTTTTAGAAAAGCCGGGATCGTATTAAACCATATAGGGATCCCGGGAATTAACCAGTTCAAGAATATAGTTTTCAGAAAAGCCGGAATCGTATTAAAATATTTAGAGATCACAGGAATTGGCCAGTTCAAGAATATAGTTTTCAGAAAAGCTGGGATCGTATTAAAACATATATAGAGATCCCGGGATTTGACAAATTCAAGAATAAAGTCTTTAATTTTTCCAATTAATTAGGCATATAATTATTGTGAGTTCCGCATTTTTTGTTTGTTAATGAATAGCTCTTAATATATTTATATCCAAAGTTAAATTAATTTAACGTTCATTACATACAGGGTCTTTCAAATATTCTATTTGAAAGACCCTGTTACATACTATAAAAAATAAAAACTTTAACGTTTAATCGCCTTTCATTACGACAATAATCAACACAAATATAGTTTATTAGTTTTCCCTCTATATCTAATTAATACGATCCCGGATCCCGGGCGTCCCGGATCCTGGGATTTCCCCCCCCCACCATATTTCCTACGGCGATTTTGTTACAGATAATCTGATTGGCTTATTGAAATACAAGAAAGTGTTTTTAAATACAGTAATTATACTCAACAGTCATCACTTATTTCACGGTAATGGCATATTTTTATGTGACCATTGTTAAAA